CCGAAAACTATAGTTCAATACCGTACATTTTTATTAATACAATAATGAAATTGTAAGAGATTTTTTAACTATGAAAGTATATTTTACTAATAGGTATAATTATTACGTCACCTTGTTATATTAACGTAATATCAGAATGCTCTCTTACTTTTATCATTGGCTCTTACTAAATAACTCGAAAAGGTACGGTAAATTACATTTATTGTATTTGTGAAACATGCACTGAAACATTATACATGTTTGAAATTTTAAATTATAAATAATACGTAGTCTCTTGGTTCTTAAAATAATAATATTTTATCACAAATTATAGTAAAACTGTATGAATTCAGATTAATACCAATGATTTGTAGAGGGATAGCATTCGCAATTAGAAAACATCATCGTTTGTGTTACGTCAATTTTCATAATAAAACGGCAAAATTCATCAGAACGTTTGCAACAGATGTAAACTTCTATTTACGATGTCAACTCAGCTTTAAATCAAACGAATTAATAAACGGCGAAAACATGCGGGAATTATTCGAGCGCAAGTCAAAATGGCGCATAAGTCTGCGTTCCAAATTCAAAAATAAATCCGTTACACGCACGCGCCGCCTTGTCGTGTTTTAAAATCGACGCGATCCCGCCTTATGCACTTCGAATTTTAAAAATACTTATCAAAACTCCCCGGTTAAATAAAAAAAAAAAACTATTATATATTTAAAACCAAGAATTTTTCTACCAATTGGTCTTTATTGCGTCCTGCCTGATCATTGATCAAGCGTAAGAGGGTCAACAATCAAAGAGATATTATTCTAACCCATTTCGTTTCACTTGAGGCATGGCGCACCCACTTCATTAGTTACTAATAACATTTTTAAAGAAAGTATATAATCAAAATTTTATAAAACTATTGATAAAACAAAGTAAAAATGACATTACTGCCGTTATGCAAATATTGAGTAAATTTGAATTTTACCGAAGGTTTAAACGAAACAAGTTGTAAATTTTTCTCTTCTGTCCCATTATCTAAAATTAAATATGCAGAAAATATTTTTTATTATAGATTTTGTAAAGAATATGTCATGAAATTTTGCTCCATTAACATTTTTAATTTTTAAATTAAGGAACTTAAAAAAAAACACTGACAAACATTAAGTGATATTACTATTCTTATTTATAGTCTTATCTATTTATTAATGGTTAATGAAAACTAAATCATATGATAATAATTAAATGTGAAAAGTGACATGTTTATTGTAAAAACTAGTGGTAACTTAACTGATCAACTTTAAATGTTATTTTAAAATATTTCATTTGTATTTATTATAAATATTGTTTGTTTCCCAAATATAATAAAAAAATAAACAAATGAAAAAACTTGACTAATCAATAAGCGTTCGTAATGTAGTTATCTAATCAGGATTAACTATTTATGTCTATATATTTCATTCACAATATTTCTGTTAATGATTCGGAAAACACTAGAGCTTTCTGAAGTTTTAAGATATCTACTCCAGATTTTTAAGAGAACCTCTTGCTCACATTATTTTAATAGACAAACATAATTCAAATTGGATAAAGAATAACTTTCTATTGACCCAAAATTAGAAGGTTCGACTAAATTTAAAATACGAATATTTATGACAATTTTCTATTTTTAAATTTAAATCGAACTCTACAAAAAAGGCTTTATAATGCGTATATATGTATTTTTTCAATTCTTTATTTGAAATGGTTTCGTTTAAATTATATTTTTCAAAGATTCGCTTCTAGATACAGTCAAGAATGCTTTATGTCTACGCTTCGAGTCAAAAGGTGCTTGTGTTACTTGGGAAGTACTTTTGTATGTAAATCGAATGCGTAGGCTTAGCTTTACTAAGTCTTTGTAAGCGTTAGACCTGTTTATCAATACCTATAAAGCTTGGAGTCTTTTAGGCAGCTGATTATAATTCCTTTGCTTATAATTTCGTTTCAAATACAACAAAAAGAAAATTTCTGTAAGTCACGTTTTGCAATAAATTATCATCAAATTATTAAAGTCCCCACTGCTGCGGTGCATGCCTACTCTATATGATATGGAATCACATAATTAGATCGGGTCTTAAGCCACCACACTGGATTATGTACTGGGTGAATACTAAGACTATTTGTGTTAGTTACATAAACAGCGAAAACTTTTGAGATATATTAAGACTTTTTAGTTTTTTATATTCTTGAAATTATATTAAAATATATTTCTCACGTTTCTTTAAAACGATGTTATTGTATTACAATTGTATTATACTTACATTATTATAAATCCCCGGCTCGATACAAATAGTAGGTACATCCTTTATATCATCATGCATCATGTAAAGTGTGCTAAGGCGAACGCCTTTCCCTTCCCTACATTTATTCATAGAGAAATAACAAAAATAGCCATACTCTGCACGACCAGTATAGGAAGAGCCGTTCTCTGTGTCTCTATGGTGTATTAAGGGTGAAGGTAAGCGGATATAGGGGTCTAAGACTTTTGGTCAGTAAAAACGCGTAGGTTGTATAGGTTGAAAAATGGCCGCGCAGCCACAATAGTATAGAGACTGGCGAACCCGGAAATGTTTGCCATAGACAAGTTTAATGTTAATGATATTGTTACTTTTATTTATGGTTTCGAAATATTTTAGAAACTAAGCCAAATAAAAACAAGCCAGCTAAAATGTAACAGATAATAAAACAAAGAATATGATACTTATAATTTACCTAGAAATAATCTATCAAATATTACTTGAAGTCGGAAAAATGTTCTATTTTTAAACTTGAATTGGTGTTCCATTGTTTTTAGATCAAAACAAGTCAGAAAACAAACTCAGTAATATAGCCTACCTAATTTTTCGATTTATTATACGGATATCGTGACATTCCAATTTCAAACGCTCAAATCAATACCTTCGTCCTGAATCGTTTTATTTCTTTTATCTATCGGAACATGGTGCCTATGGCTAATTATTTTTTAAATCTCTTGCAATATTGTTTGGTCACAGTTGCTTGGAAAGTCGAATCCCGTTCCAGTTATATACGATAGCCTTTTCTGGCATGATTAGCATCGCCTATAAAGTTTCCCAGGTTATTCAATTTTAACATCTAACTGCGAAACAATAAAATCAACTTTTGTTTGGTTGCGAATTTCGTGTGAATAATACTCGTACTTTTCACTCGCACACTTTTTCATAAATTCTTTCCAGATAATTAAGTACTTTCTTATTATTCTAATTATATAATAAGAAAGTACTTAATTATCTGGAAAGAATATCAGTATCAGTTATCAGTGAATTCTTATTATAATGATATACAAATCGTTAGGACTAGACATCTTAATAACGTAGCAGTAAATAATCAAAACTATTATGAAATAAATAGTCGTAAAAGTCGAATTGCCTCGAGCGACTACGATTGTGTTTATATCTTACATCTGTAGGTTTAAATTATAAAGAAACTAAGCATTTAAGGATGGTTAAGAATAGAAAAAAAACTATAATTAGTCAACGCTACAATTTTTTTTAATGTATTAAAATAAGCCTTTCATTATTAAGTCTACCTTAAGTTACGTTAATTAATTTGATTATACGAAAAATAGTTTTATATCTAACTACACAATAAATATTATTCCAATGTTGGTACTACTTTCTTTATAGATATAACAAGTATTTCAATAAATAACCTAGGATAACCAGGGCATTACACAACCTATTCACTGGTTAAGATATATTCACAATTACAAAGTATTAAATATAATTTACTTGCAGCCCTAAGCATCATAAAGGGCTTGAATAACGCAATATTTTACGAACACTTTTATCTACAAAACCAACCTAATAAACCTAACTCAGTAATAAAATTTAGTGTCAATAAATAAAGCAATCGAACCGTTAGTGCCCGATTAGCTATACAAGGCACAAACCAGCAATATTTCTATGCATTTCGCTGTGTCAGACCTCGCACAAAACCATATATCTATCTCGGAGCATCTAGGAAATAATTCTACAATATCTCTCCTTGCGAACGCACTCATATTATACACACGCATTCTTCTCAGACATGCAAAATCACTAACACAAGCATACCGCAGGACTATGCAAAGATATCGACGTTACAAACCTCAGTGGCGTTGTTAATGTGTGCGTGAGAGTCAACGAACCCAAGCATTTGCTTGCAGTAGTACAGGCTAAAAGTATGCGTTCGTTTTATTATGGTCTTATTTTAAAAATGGAACGGCGGTCATCGCTTTCTTTCGTGTTGGGTTAGGTCGCGCACGGATTTTGGCGCGAACTTTCCGAGGACGACCAGCGACGGGTTTCGTGTTTGTTACCATTCGGGGTTACCGTTACCGAAGTTGTTTTGTTCCAATTTCGAATTCCCGATACCCGGTCAAATGTCACATTTCCTCCTTTCAGCATTAGTGTCTAAAAAGGTTGAAACGCATTATCTGTCAACTCTGTTTTATTTTGTTCTCTTTTTTACTTAACAATGAGTTTAATAGAAAGTCTTATAAACCTTTGGAATTTGAAGAATGTTTATGTTTGAAAATATCCTAACTGGTTTAACCAGATGTACCTATTTGATACAGCAATTTAACTGGACTGAAATCACTATTATTGCTCAGTAATGACTAAATTAAAGTTAATTGAGATAAAACATTGCTGAGTTGTAGATAGTTTGCGTAAGCATCTTGTTTTATTAAAAGAATGCTACAGACATAGGTGATGATATTAATATTACATTCAATTGAATTCTTGTACAGTAATGTTGTGATTATTAATTTGTAATTCACTTTCAAGTAATTTTCTTGTCGTAATAAATTAGTTATCATTTAAACAGCATAAGTTAAAAAGTAAAGCTAGAAAATTGTCTTTTTTTATAGTAAAAAAAAAATACAGTAATAGATAAATAATTAAGTATGGTTTTACAAATCATTATCTTTTATATAAAATAAGATTCGAAAAGTTTTGATTAAGCAATTTCTTTTTCTTTTGTTTCAGGCGAACGTCCTTACAAGTGTCATTTACCAGACTGCGGAAGGGCTTTCATACAGCTGTCCAATCTTCAACAGCATCTGAGGAACCATGATGCTCAGGTGGAAAGGGCCAAGAACCGGCCGTTCCACTGTAATATATGTGGGAAGGGTTTTGCCACCGAAAGTAGTCTGAGAACGCACACGGCAAAGGTCAGTATCTTAAAAAGGAGTTTTAATGTACCTATTTTTATAATATATTTTTAAATTTGTCATCGAAACTTGAATTTAAAAAAAAAAATATATGTGTGTGAGTTTGGCTTGTGAACACTTTAATCATTTAACATATTTTCATGTGGAAGTATTGGCAAATAAAGAGTTACACATAAACATTTTTATTTAACAGAAAAAAAAACGATTGGCAATTTTTTATTTATTTTGTTGTCTAAATTTCACTTTTGGCCGTTATATTTATTTTAAAAAGCATTAAATCAAAATTCTATTTCGCACTTTTACTATATTTTTCTAAATTCCTTTTAGACCGTTATGTCTTGTTTTTTTTTATTATTTTTAAGTGTGTTTTTATGAATGTAACCTAATCTTTGACTGCTATGCCCGCATCGCCACCTCAACGGTGGAACAGGAGCTTCAGCTGCACCTTGGTGTTTTGCAGCAACACGCCGCACTTATGATCGGTGGCGCCACCGCCACACCATGCCCCATATGCCACAAAGTCGTATTTGGTGGCGAAGCACTTGTAGAACATATGAAGAATACTCACAAGGATCCAAATGCGTCCGGCGTTGCCAGTAAGTTTCGAATTCGGACCGGCTTTTTGAAACTGCATCGAAAAAAAGAACGTCGTCCATCCGATCTCTTTCTTTTTTAAATTATAAGGATGTTCTAGTCTTTAAGTCTATGTAAGCGAACCTCCTTTGCGATGAGCGTAATTCAAATCGGTGTTCTAAATTTAAATTGTAGCGTTCGATCTGTTTTAAAATAACGCACTCGCAGATGAGATTTATTAGTTTATAAGAATATCAGCCACTGGAAGTTTGGTACGATTCAAATTCGTTCGGTCTCCATAAAATAACTGAAGCGGTAACAACAAAACATTCTGTAATCAAATATTTTGCGTTGCAAAAGCTTCCAGCTGGCACAAAGCCATGAGGGGTGTTGGTTCCTTAAAATCCAACGGTAAAACAAAAACGTATCGTTTCCATAAAATATAGTTAACTTAATAAATAAGCTCGTTCTAACGCCATCCGGAGTAGTCTGTTATTGTTACTGGATTATTGGAAGGGTAAAGTGTTTTGTAAACATTTATTGCTTGCTAAGAGATAGACAGATTCTTAGGATGGCGTTCAAGTCTATTATGATAACATGTTTTGTTTTCGTATCTAATGGCGACATTTTCCATCGTTTCATCAAGCAAGTTTTGTTGCCATTTTGTGTTCCGTTAATTGATTTATATTTTGATTTTCATTCATTAATAATTAAGTAATTTAAGAACAACGACCCTTCGCTTTCAATAAATAACGATTCGTTATTTATTCCTTGAAATTAAAAAATAAAATTCCATGTTCATTAAAACTATTCAGTAAAACAATTTAAACGTTACCAAAAGCACAAGGGTCGTCTACATAGGTTTCACTAACACTTTGACTAACCTTGTATTTTTTTTTCTCCTTCCCCTCTCTAACCCACTAACCTTCCAACTCCTGGTGATGATGGCGAAGCTCCACCCGCCACGTCACCGTACCCGGCGCAAGCTAAACCTATTGATCCTTATATAGCCAAGCGGCGGACTGCCAACCATCCGTGTCCTGTGTGTGGGAAGCATTACGTCAATGAAGGTTCCTTGAGGAAGCACCTTGCCTGCCATCCAGAGACCCAGCTGACTAGTGGGCTGAGAATGTGGCCGTGCTCCGTCTGCCAGGCTGTTTTCACACACGAAAGCGGTTAGTTATTAATTGTGGCTAAATGAACAAGCTTGGCCTCAAATATGGTAGGAATTTCACAAGGACCGTCATGAGATCAGTTATCGGAAAATTAACTATCTCAAGCTCCTCCGTGCTTCGCAAGGCACTTTTAACTGAGGCCGACTGTGTCTGCGTGGTGTATCATGGTTAATTCTTTCTATTGCATTAGAATTTATTCCATACATAGGAACGGCCTGTACCCTTGCAATGGAGACATTAATATTTTACTTTATAAATTAAAATATAAAATTATTAGATACACAAACCTTATTTCAAAACCACAATAATATTTTTTTAAATTTCCACTTTATTATTTAATGTCCGGTAAATTATATTTATAAAGTTGAATACTAACTCGATCTTCAATAACTTTTTTCAGGTCTTCTATCCCACATGGAACATATGAGAATGGAGCCAAAACATCAGTTCGCTGCACAATACGTCCTATCTCGTGCAGCAGCCGAAAGACGAGAGAGAGACATACTAGCAGCCGTTTCAGCCTCAGCCGGTGGATCCGGTCTTTTGAACTTAGCACCACCCTCACCTGCTCACTCCGACTCCTCGTCGAACGGTAGACTCTCCTCTTCAGCTGGATCAGAAGCAGGTGCTGCAGTTAATAAACTAACAGATTTACTACGATCAGCCAACAACGGGCACCAAGCGTATGGGGATGAAAGAGTCGCAGCGATCGCAGCAGCTGCTGCCAACATGATGGCTCAGCCAGGGGAAGGGGCAAATGCTGTGCAAGTTGCTGCTGCGAATCTTGTGTCAGCGATGAGACAGCAGTTAGCTAGAGAACCACCACCAGCACAGCCACCAGCTGAAACGCCTCCAGCGCCAACCGAGGCGGCACTCCGAATCCAGCAAGCCGAAGCACTTCTTAGAAGTCAAGCAGAGGCTTTGAGGTTAGCTGTCTCTCAAGCCGCCGCTGCGCATAACCCTGAATCCGTTAGCCCCTTAAGACATAATGGTGGTTTTCCCCCACCACCACCGAACGACGCAAGCGGTCAACTATCTCCGGAATTAGTGGAAGCATTCAGAATCGCTCAGGAGCAGAGGTTGGAACAAGCGCTGCGATTGCACGATCCGAGGATGCTCGGTTTCAATTTACCATCGCCCGTACAGCAGGCAGCACAGCAAGCAGCGCAACAGGCTGCCCAACAGGCAGTAGCTGCCCAACAAGCCGCAGCGCAGCAGGCAGCACAACAAGCTGCCCAGCAAGTGGCACAGCAGGCCGCCCACGCAGCGCAGGCGGCGCAGCAGGCCGCCCAGCAGGCCGCGCAGCAGCAGCACATGCAGCAGCAGGCGGCCCAGGCAGCCCAAGCGGCTCAGCAGGCGGCCCAGCAAGCTGTCCACCTCCAACAAAACACCCAGCCATGAAAATTTAGCTATTACTAATCCGAAGCGATTTCATCAAATAATAACCTAATTTTGAATTCATAGAAAAAAAAAGTATATTCTCGGTATATTTTGCACAAAACAATTTTGATACGGAGGGTGAATGAAATCGCCTCTGGTTGGTAATTTCGTGTCTGTTTTCAAAATACCTGAACCCGTTTTGGACTTTATTGATTTCACTGTTATTTTATCCGGAAAAAAAAATTGTGAAAATAAATTATTAACGATAAATCTTAGATAGAACTAACTATTGTAAATAACTGAGGCTTAGTTGAAATTGTTTCTCGTGTAAATATAAAATGAGGAAAAATATTGATTATACAAATAAAATCAGCAAAATGGAACAAGAACTCGCCCGAACAAGTAATTAGTCGTAGAAAACATTATGACAAATAATTGTAATTTTAAACATTATTCTGTGCAATCTTCATTAATTATTTGTTTGGTTATTAACTGAGTGTTGACATTATTATTACTATTATTATTATAAATGAATTATTTATTTTTGATTAGCTTTACCACGGAGTGTATTTCTTAGTTTAGTACAAAATTTTTGGATGTGCCAAACTGATTTTAAGCACTTTTATTAATCGCATTTAGCGGAACAATGCAATCATGTTGCCTATTAAGTTTCTAAGTAGTTACTAAAGAGACATATTTTATATTAATTAATATTATGATTTTAACTATTCTTGCAATAACACGTCTTATGCTAGTCACAATTGAACGCACAAATTTTATTCTATATTTGAAAATTTAAAAATCGAAACATATTTTTATTTTATTTTTTTGTTTCCATTTAAAACTAAATTTGCTAACTTTCTTGGCATATGTATGTTTTTTATTTTATTTTTACAATAATTGCCATATTAGTTTATAGAATATGTACATACGTAGGCGCGTTACGTAAAGTTATGTCTCTTTTATTCGTAAATGAGAATAATAACATTGTTTATTTTTTACTAAAACTATTTTTTATTTTAACAAGAAAAATGATTATTTACACAATAATTTGTATAGTTGTATATATAATTATTGATTATTATTATTTCTTTCCAGAAGACTGCCGTTACTTATCCGTTTTATGTAAATAAATAATTGACTGTAACTGACTTGAAAATGTATGTGATTTAATAAAAAAATAGCGATTTTTCACTCCACTAACGTACACAATATCTACATAACAGGACAATACTATATAGAATACGTAAAAAAAACCTAAAGTCGGAGACAAATATAGTATATTTATATCTAACATAACATCTAACTTCGACAAAACGTTTAAGCCGATACACCGTTACAAAGAACACAAGACATTCTTTTCAACACCAAGGATGTTGACAAATAGCCCAAATATTTTTACATTTATTTTATGTATAATATACGCTTTCAAATAACCACAATAGCCCAGTGGATCATTTTTATAATGATCAAAATATAATCAATAATTGAATTCTAATTAATAGGTCGACAATTGTACGACTTCACAACAAACAACAACATTAGTATTTAGAATTTAAAACAGTTGCCATTGCAATAGTTTTATAGTTCCAGGTGAAATTGCAAAATGTTATACAGATATTGCAAGATCTGTGTATTATTTTGCAAATTTTCATAATAAGAAGAATGTCAAGTGTTGCAGAATATTCTTTTAATATTATCACTGTGTATTATAAGTGACAATTATTGTGGAGAGAGTTGTACTTTTAATATTGACTCTGTCCACAGAAATTGTAAAATTAATAAACGTATAATCGTAAAGTAGGTAAGGTATGGTAAGCTGATTTTAATGTACGTAATTGTTTCATTCTTGAATTAATATTGGTATTATCGTGTAACAGTGATAATTACGTGTATTTCAAATGCACGTAAATTTTTCTGTCACAATATACCAATGTAAATAGGAAAAAAAACACAATGCAATAGCCCAAAAATTGTTTATTATTTTATGTCGTGACATTTGGTTGATGATGTGAGTTTTCATTGAGTGTTGTTTTGATGTGTGTATTTTACTTTAGAAATACAAAAATTTTCGGCCATTTTTTATCATTGATTTTATGGTGTGAATCGCTATGTACCATCAAGATGAAGAAGGTCTCCCGATATGAAATATGTTTTCTAGGAAACGTTATTCTCTTATTAGACTAAAATTTTCGACTGACAAAAATAAGAATTTCGACAATTGCAATAAAACATACAAACAAAAAGTGAACTGATCGCTATTTATGTAAAAAAGAAATTACCCTCGTAAATTTAATAATTATAAATAAATTTAATATAACAACAAAAGAAGTTCCTATGAATATTGTATAAATGGTATTGTTTTAAATTTAGGTCTTAGTAGAAGGGAAAAAAGTTTATGGACGTTTTGGTATTTTTAAAGTTGTAAATTTAATTAAAAAATCTCGTATTAGGGAACTAAACTCGGTCGTGTACGAGTTGTACAAAAGTTTAATAAAATTAAAAGCACGGATGTTGAATCCTAACAATATTAGATTTTTAGATCAAAAGTTACGTTTCCAAGGAAGTGTTCAAGATATGAAATGCTTATCATTTTTGTGTGGCGTCAGTATTTTGTCTATGAAAGTTATATTTGTAAAAATTGATAGCGACACCGTTGTATTTTCGAGAGCGAACCCTATTAATGTAAGACTTTTGGATGAAACAGAAATATAAAAAATAAACGTTACTCAATAACTGGTTTGCCACAAAAAATGGGAGCAGTTGCATTTCTGTGATCATCGAAAAAGAAAGGAATAGTTTATAACAAAATCAGGATGTGTCTGTTAATCGACAGAGGTTAGGTTAAGTTTTTGATGGATGAATTTTTTTTAAAGTGTTGTTATGAAACAAAAAAATAATTATGGAAGAAAAAAGTTTCTACAATATTTATTTTACAAAAGCAAAATTCCTTAGATAAGCTGTGTACATTTAATACTATTATAAAGCCTAATTAACAGTAACGCAATTTGCGATGGACGAGCAAGGTCGAAGAAAATATGTGTGTGTGTTCATGAAGACAATTTTCTTCGATTTCGTTCTATTAGTGTCAATAGAACTGGTTTAATTTTGATGTTTACACACAAACGTGAGCAAATAGCTGTTCCATCATCTCTTTCTATTATAGAAATGCGCTGTTGGTTATTTTCATTTAGAAATGGATGTGACGCTTACAAGAAATGTTGTAGATTAATTGGCTAATTGATAATTACGTTGACATTATTTTGTTAATAGGAAAATTCGTTACGAAGTTTTATGGTCACCGTTGCCAACTGACTATCTATGCACCTCAATATATGGCAATCGAACGCTTAAGTGGCCAATTTCAATTGTATATCTCTATTGCGACAACAACTAGCAATTACATTACATTTTTTATTTTTCATGTTATTAAAAACGTTGTGAATTGTGAAGCATATTTTCGACGCAATTGTAATTTTGTACTACAGAAATTGTAAAATTGCATTTTTAGTATGTAACTTTATTTTATCGATAATCGCACGAAATTCAGTTGTAATACTAAATTAATATTTAAACTAATCAAAAACGGTCGAAATACCCAAAAAGAGAAATGTTACACGATTCACAATCGTTTATTGTTGAGTTTTTATTAAATAACTTTGCTGTTGAGTTGTATTAAACATCCTTATTAATTGTTAGACGTTTCGTTTAGCGGCTTCGTAGTTTAGGTTGTTTATATTTCGCTTGTTTTATACTATTAGATAAAATATACATTATTATACGTATTATAAGAGTAGACAGGATAGCCAGGTTTTCAATTATACCACACATAGTAGTTATTGTATCGTATACTATAATAATTAAGCATAATTAATGTAATGTAATTCGGAAAGAGCCTATTCATAAATAAGTTTAATACTTCTTGAATGGAATATTTGTGAATTGGCTTTTAAGTGTCATGTATTAAGCACACTTAAATGTACTTGATATATGTCGCTAATGTAGGAACAACGAAAAAAAATACACAGAAATACAAAAAAAAAACGTGTACTTATTCGTACTTATATGTCTTAGGTAATCAGATTTCATTATTATTGATGTTTATGGGAATTTTGTATCCCGAACAGTAAGCGTGGTGGCCATTTCGAATGAAAACATTTTATGAAATTCGTATACTACAGAAAAATACAAAATTTATGAAATGCAAAAATGATAATTTTTTGCAAATGTAAACCAGGGTGTTTAGAAATTAACTATTGACTGACCATGAAGATTATTTACAAAATTAACTAGCAGCGCATTTAATACGTTTCTTCTGTGTTTGTATACACCTATTAATGTCACACGAGGCATTTCGCGCCAACACAAACTTGGTATCAAATTATTTCTGTTGCAAAAACCGTAGTCTACTTTCTGTTACAAAAAAATTAATTACTAACAAGATATTTTATTTAAATTAATTGGTGTATTTCTAGTCTTACTTACGTAAATTCATTTTAAACAGAGTCTGTATTTAAAACGATATCCGCTTCTCAAATGTTTCGAGTGAAAAATCTCGTGACTGGTTCGTAAAATGTAGAATATTTGAACATAAAATTGTAAGATAAAGTTTTGGAAACGCAATTTTGTAAGAATCAAAATTATGATGTACCTATTTCGGCGTATCAAAATTATTGTAAAATTCAATAACGGTAAGATGATTAGAATTAAAATAATGAAAAACTAATGTTTAGCTAGAAAGTCAAAATTCATGTTTGGCAAAATGTATTACAAGAAGATAAACAAAAAAATATTGTAAATATTTTAGGGATGTGATGTGATTATTATTGTACCTAATCGGTGTTTAGGCGGAATATATAATTACGAACTTTCTGGAACATAAAAAAGGATTCTGTGGCAGTGTTCAATATGAAACTAAGTTATAATTCATTATGTTACATTGTAAAGTTAATTATTGTAAGTTTCATTTTAAGTTTGAAATATAAATGATGCCATGTTTTCTTAAATTAATTAATTATTTTAGAAACGTAAACTATGTTTATTGAATATTATATTTTTATAATGGTTACGATTATTTTTTTTTTATCCAAGTATGTAGTCAATCTTATGATATATTTTGTATAGATATTTTTAGTGTTGACTTATGTTAAGATTTTTTTAGTTTATGTTGCGCCCATTATATCGAACAAATATGTTTGTAATGTTTAATTTTTATCTATTGACAGATGTTTTTTTTTTGTCTAAAGGCGGTAATGCTTATTGTGTCATTAACTGATAATAGTAATTATTATTGCCGAAAACGGTTAGCTATAATTATTTTAAAAAATAAAAATGACGAATCATATTTGCGTTTTTATGTACCCGTACGTTTTAATTGATTTAAAACTCTACTTTTAAATAAAATCAATCTATCAAGAAATTAGACAGATTTGTATAAACTTACGTGCTTTTGAGTGTTAATCATTAGCTTGTTAATTACCTACATATAATCTTAAAGGTTTAGTGGTGAGGTTTGACAGATTTGTATAGATCCATACTGTTAACTATAGAAAGAAATTACGAATCTATCATTGAAAATGAGAAAGCGATCTCGTATTTCACTTTCAGAAGTGAATTTATAAAATTTTCTCCATACAAATAGTTACAAAAATTCTGCTCACAAAGTTACGAAACACAGAAAAGTGATAAATATATGAGTCATATTGTAGCCGATGGCTTTAAGTAGAACTTTTACAATAATACTAATATACGAGTGATTCATTAAAAATCGTATTTTATGGTACAATACGCAATCGTCAATATATATATATCTGAATGATTTGTCTCGTTTTCTCTTTTCCCCAAAAAAATACCGCGGAAAAAAAATACTTATCTCAAATCTTTAATTAATAGATTTGACCGATCTGTTAGTCGTCTCATTTGAAAAACAACTTATATTCTGATACGAATTAACATAGCGCCATCTGTTGTTGAGTAGACGAATTGTACCGGAAGCCAACGAGACAGAAATGATAACAAAATAAAACTATCATATAAATATCTACATAGAAACCTATTTTAAATTGTAGGTAGATAACCAATATTAAAAATTATTTGCAGATATAATATTACTGATATTAGACAAATCCTGAAACAAATCTTTTTACTTTGCACAGAATGGCCCCGTCAATCTTAAAAAAAGTAACAGGAATTAAATATTATAGTATAGTATACATTATTGTTACATTATTATTATTCATTTAACTGCCATCTTACAAATATTTTATTAACTACAATTGTTGTTTAGAAAGGTACTACGCCGTTAAAAGCGCCACCTATAAAAAATATAACAAATCACATACTTATTTATAGCAAACCACGTGCTGAACTTGTCAAGTAAATTGTTATAAGATAGATGGCGCTTTCATTGCTGCCATGCAGTACTTTAAAAATACGCTAGATGACATATTTACGGGTTTGGGACGTCACATTTGTATTTTTTAAACTGTCAATAGATGGCATGACATTGGTAAATGAAATGGAAAAATACTGAACACCAAAATAATAATTACGTACGTATTGCTGTTTTGTATTTAAACTTTTTAGATTTTTTTTTTTTAATTTGTATCAGTAATAGAAAAAAATAATAAAATAAATAATTTAAAAATATTTCGTAACGACTTAATTACTACCACTACTTAGTTAAGCTCAAATCAATTAAGTTCGAATAGTCCAGAATTATCACATGAATTATTTTTAAAAGACAACATACTCGTAAGTTGTGACGCCATTACACCTACTAGTTATTAATATCCATCATTAATATCAAACCTGCATAAAAAATTACAGCTTAGAGGTAAATTGAAAATAAAAACATGAGTATCGTTCGACACAATAAAAATAAGACTTGCAAACATAATAATTTATTAATTTTATTGCTAAAAATATATATTTTTTTTTTATTCCAGCGAAGATTTGACCTTTGTGCTTTTAATCACCCTACTTTTGACCCCACTTTAAAATGAAGACTCTTTGTATTTGTTGCTTATTTTTGTAGTTATTATTCTTTTCTAAGGTCGGTTTTAGTTTATGAAAATATTTTTTTGTGAGAATCTATATGTTATAACTTTTTTATATTACAAAAAAAACTACTTATTAATCTAGTCCTTTTGTATTCTTATGACTACTACCAAAGAAGACTCAAACACAAGCAGAAACTTAATTTGGTTTTGCATGAATCTATTTAATTCCTTCTTAAATGGAAAAATATACCTGTATCTCTAATTCCAATCACAAAGAATATCATTGAACAATGATAAGAGTTCTTCAATTTTCCCAACTCCACGCTAATTAATAAAATAGTGAAATAAATCGCTAGTGAATTTATGAAATTGAAAAAAATTCGCAATCGCTCACACTGCGGTGAAGTGATGCGAAAGAATAGTATGGATATGACGATAACTATCTTCTTTCTATGAGCGCATTTGCAACTTG